AGTTTGTCCAAATCCACATTGCGGGTGCGTAGTTGTGATACCAATTCAGCCACAAATACTGTAGTGCCTATGTTGTCAAAAGGAAGGACGAAGGTTTCTCGTCCGTATGCAACACGACGGAGCCAGGTGTTGTGTAAGCCCTGGTACAAGAACTTCCAGAGTGGGACTTGTAAAGGATCCATACCTTCAATGTCTTTGTAGCTTGAAAACCGGCTCTGTCGGATTCTGGAGGGGAAATCCAGACCATTGATCTTGTTGGAGCCGTGGAAGTCGACATCAGGTTTCCATTGCTCCACCGGTGGGATTTCAATTGGTCGGCATGTATACCCTTCGTTGACAGTAGAGCTTGCTCCCGGGGATGACATAGGCCTCGGCGATCTCGGTGTAAAAGGATGACGTTGAGGTGCAAAATTGGCATTGTTGGGAGGTGTCTGGGAAAACGGAGGCGGTGTAGGTGGGAAAGGTGCCGTAGATGGAGTCCATGGTGGGCGTGTTGAGAACGATGTAGATGTAGGTGGCGGAGGCGGTATCCCGGACGGGCTCCAAAAAGGTCGATGGGTCGTCATTGCATAGTGCATCGGGCCACGGAACACAGGTACTGCTTGGTGCCATCCATGTTGATGACGAGGAGGTGTGCGAGAGCGATCCGGCTGGGAAGGAGGGATTCCGTTAACGTCAGAGCTGAACTGGGAGATCAGGTCCTGGGACGCCATGATGTAGACGGGGGCCACGAGATAATAGGTCAAAATACGTTCGAACGGCCGACTGAAAGCTGCGGTGAAGTGGCAAGGTGAGACAAAGATGATGTGCGATTGAAACGGTGTGAAACATGATACGTGGTCCCTGTGTGTGAAACGTGAAGTGAAATACGAAGCTGACGCAAGGTTCAAATATCATGAGCATGCAGCAGTTCACAAACCTTTTGAGGGAAGAAGTGGCATCAATACCGAATGTCGGGAGAAGCATTGTTACTCCAAAAAGATCGGGCAGGGCCACTAGGCTCACTGGATCGCTGTCGTAGAATAGTTGACACTTGTTCCGGTACTCCTCAAAGGTAAAGTGTTCACCAGCGAGATCTGGAGTGGTGGTATGTCGAGTGTCGAGAACGAGGTTGGCCTTCACGGTGCTGGTCTCGAGAGTGGCCTTCGTGATGGGAAGATCGGCGATCTCGACGGCTATAGGTTGAGTTGTCCCAAGAAGCATTGTCGTGCCAAGATCGGCGAGCATGATCTCGAGAGGCAGACTCGGTGGTCTCGTGGTGGCCGGTTGTGTCTCGAGAGTCGTCTGGGGGTGGGTCCGAAGGTGCTGGTGTGTCGGCAGAAGGGTCAGGTCGTGCTGGACGTGCATGATCATCTGGAGGTTCCGTTGGTGGATTTGTCTCCGCTGCCTGGTGTGTGATCAAGCCCGGGAAAACCGAATGAGTGGAGGCAACATAGCATATGGATGCGGCGCTGGAGTTCATAGCCGTTGCATTGTCTTTGCCCTTGGCGATGCCCGCGAGGTTGCACAAGCGTTGAATTTGGTCATTTCCTCCAGATAGGGCTCGGATGCATTTGGGTGAGCGACAAATGGCCAGTAGGCCAGATGGGTTTTGTCCTTTCCCTATGCGGTAGAGCTGAGATGTACATATTTTGACAGCATAGCCTGGCAGAGTGTCGATGTCAGCGATCTCAGAGGACATGCCGAAGAACCCGTAGCATGGGTATTGAGTCGGGAAGCCGGCTTCGTTTTTTGTCCAAGTTGCCGGGCGAATGCAGTCTTCCGCGAGAATTTTGGCAACTGTTTCCCAACTCGTTTTGTTGTAGATCAGGTAGGTGCCCATGTGCTCGCCACGATAGATCGGTTTCTTTTTCAATCCCGTGGGAACCGTGATGGTCAGCAGGTTCTCTGGCTCGATGTAAAATGCTTTGGTTTGCCTCGCAAGCTCGATGTCCAGTAAGTTGGATTGTGCAAAGGCCCTGGCAATGCTCTTGACGGTGGCTTGGCTTGCTTTGATATAAATACGTTGGTTGTTGACGGTGCGATATGGTTGAGCCAACTGGTGGAACATCTCGTCAACGAATTGGTTGAAAAGCTGCAAGGTAGCCGGGGTCAATGATTGGCGTAGGGGCACTGTATGGTCGGGGTCAAGCTCAGTCAAGCAACGGACCCGAAGGGGATCATTGGCAGCCTCAACCATTTCACTGAGGTCGATGTCATTCGTGTCGAATTTTGAGATCGAAATTGCATCTGCCACCTCAGAATTTTCACTGTCACCGTCGGGGACGCGGAAGGACACAGCTCCAAGTGGTGCTGCAATGTGGGATGGTGGGTTGGTAGATGGTTCAGGTGGTGGTGGATCAGCAGGAGAGTTGGGTCGAGTAGAGTTGTGATGGTAGTTGTCGATGTAGTGGGTGTTGTTCCATTGGCCCCAGGTATCATCAGCATCGGGAGTGGGGATGTAGGCTGGATTGGATGGGTGTGCAGCTGGTCGAAGTACGACTTCACGGCCTCTGGATCGGTGACGTGGTGTTTCGGAACGTGGTTTTGGGCGAGATCGATGACGTCGAGGAACCACGGGAGAGCGGCGTCTTGGCGGTGATCTTCGTCTGTATGGAGACGGGGTTCTGCGGTCCTTGGCGTGTTTCGTAGATGACCGAAAACGAGGAAGAGGAGAACGAGGTCGTACTGCACGTTGGGGAGAATAGCGATGATGATGTGATCGTGCCGAAGGTCGACGGGAACGTGATCTTGGAGTCCTGGATCGTGGTCTGCGCGTTGGTGATGGTGGAGCATGCAGGTGGTGAGGAGGAGCGATGGCTGGAGCTGGGATGATGCGGGGGTCCGGAACGTCAGGTTCGGTGGGTCTGGCTTTCGGTGCGGGCGGAGGCATGGCAATAGGTGGTGGTGCTGCTTTGGGTAATGGTGTCGGTGGACTGGGGTTCGGTGTAGGTCCATCGTGTTGGAGGAGTAGCTGACGTTGTTCTTGGGCTCGTTGAGAATCCATGATCAATTGTTGTTGAGCTTGAATAAGTCGAACCGATTCCGCAAGTTGCTGTGTAGTGGAGCCCAGCGCTGCAAGTTCAGGTGAAACGGATGAAGTCGGTGCTGCCGTAGGTGCCGGTGGTGGAGAGGCTTTCGGAGCTGACCGACGTGGTTTGTCCGTTTTCTTGTCAGAGCGAAGCCTGGGAGCAGCCTTAACTGCTGGTGGTGGAGGTTCATCTGGAGGGACCATCGATGCGTCCGTCGGTAGTGGAGGTTGAATGTGGTGAGGTGGGTATGGAGAGCTCTGCAAAGGTGTCGGTGGTGTAGTCGATGTAGGTGGTGTAGTCGATGTAGGTGATGGAGCCAGAGGAGAATGCCAAGTGGGTGGAGCGGTGGGTGCCGTAGGAGTAGAAAAAGTCGGTGGAGCGGTGTGCACCAGAGTGGTTTCAGGAGCCATAGGTGTGGGCATAGTGGGCACGAGTTGTGGGCCTGGTACTGCATGAGGAGTCGAAGTCAATGAGGTGAATGGCAGCGATGTTGGGGCCGATGCAGACGGCACGAGCGAAGCTGAGGAAGACCATGTAGGATGCAATGGCGAGGGATGTCCGAATAGATGTGCGTTCTGCGATGATTGCGGCCACGTCGAAGATGGAGTCGTAGGCTGCGGTGGAGCAGGCCATGACGTCGGAGGAGTGGTCCACGGGTACATCGCTCAAGAAAAATAATGAAAATTCATGAAAATTCACATACAGGACTCAGTTCCTAGACCTACTGTTCGTGCAATTGTGCCACAACAGGCCCGTGTTCCAGTCAGCCACGAGGGCATAAAACGGCTTTCAAGTTCCCTCGAATTAGGTGCACAACATGTTTCACCTCACCAGACAGCCAAAAGGAAAAAGACCACACCTGAAAGACGTGTGCCTGCCTTTTCATAATGTCGTGAAATGATGTCATGTAGCTGCAAAGGTTGCTGCAAAAACGGAGGTTTCTGGTAGTTCGAAGTGGCTTCACTCAATAGAGATGCATTCCACTGGGTTCATAAGGACAGCCGGAACGGCAGGACATCTCAAAAAAGGTGCAGAACAGAAAGGCCAGCTGTTGCACATTACGTAAACGAATTACCAAATTAAAATGTGTGAATTCAGAATTCAAGACGGTCAACACTCACCCTGAAAAGGGTTGCCTCAAATGGCTCCATGGCACCATGTCGGAGCCACCATGTCGGAGCCACCATGGAAATCACACTAGACAAGAATGGATCATTATATGATCCGGCAGGAACTGAATCCTGAAACATGCAGATTAGATATGAAACAACGAAATTAACGATGCACCCTACGAATAATGGGAGTTCTCCTGAATGGTTTCCATGGCCAAGATCGTCATCAAATATAAATAAATGAATCGGCGACATGGTTTTGATAAAATAATCCAAATACATCGGCGACATGTTCGGCGAAATAATGCAAAAATTCAAAATACTGTCGGCGACATGGTTTCGGCGAAAATACTGAGGAAGGTTCTGATGCAGGCAATACAGATTGTGGCAACCGTGTAGATTCGAAACAACGCAGGGTAACAGCTTGATCAACAGTTGAAACCGATCTGCAAATTGCCAGGTACGTCAGAAAGGCGTCCCTTTCTGATATCACAGATCAAGGCAAGTGTCTTTGTTAGTGCCAGACTTGCAATGATCCCTGGCACCCCCCTGCAAATGTGAAAAGATTAGAGCAATAGAAGTTTTACATCTGTTCAGATGTTACACACACACACACAGACACAGACACAGACACATACACATACACAAACACATACACAAACACAAAGACAAAGACAAACACAAACACAAAGACAAACACAAAGACAAAGACAAACACAAACACAAACACAAACACACACACACACAAACAAACAAACAAACAAACACACACACACACAGCCAGATCTCTCTTGACCGTTGACCCAGAAAACATGTGCCACGTGTTATCGCCTGACTAGGCTACAATGACTCGGACCGTAGCTTCTTTGCACTCAGCATGCGCTGATGCGTATAGTCTTGGAGGGACTATTGTCGTGCTTTTCGTTCAGATGATGGCAATTTATATCAACCCATACCATGCCGGTCATCATGAGTTTCTGAGAGGAAGGATGAGGGCAAGCTAAGGCCCAGTGAACACCACGCGATTTGCTAGCGACTTCCCGTACCTAGTGTCGCTGAGCAATCCCCATGGTCACTTCTGTGGAGGGACACTTGGCCCCAGTAGAGAAGGAAGAGGAACATATGGGAAGTGCAGCTGTTTCATGAAGGTCTGGATGCCCCATGCTACCTATCGCTCTATTGCCTATATCCAAATTTGATAATCTTGGGGAATCTGGAGCATGCTGGAGCTTTCCACTGATGTCAGATATTTTAGACTGCAGTGGCTCCGTTGCTTCAGGCTTCCATCCCAAGGGCTTTTGAATTCCGGCCGGTCCAATAGTCTTTCCCCATGGCCCATGCCTGCCGATTTAGGACGCTCTTGGATGAACGCTGGGTATTGACTGCAGCGCACTGCTTTGGGACTGGCGTTGCAAGCTTGAGCAACATCCAGGTCTGGTGTGAAGACATTCCAACTCAATTCAAATTATTTCAAATTATTATTTGATGGTCGAATCTTGCTGGCGATGATAGAATTTTCTCTGAAAGCTTTTACCCCAAGCATTTGCTGGATGCAAAAGGGTGCGAAGGGTGCCGACCCACACGCCTGAAGGTGCGCGCGTTGAGCGACGGAAGCACATCGGGGGTTGAGCTCCTGGCCCCTTGTCTCTGAGGCCCCAGTGGCATGCGGCATTAGAGACAGTGGACAGTATCTTCTGTTTAAATATTTGTTTCTGTCTTCCTTGGCTGCAGCCACACAGATGGCATTGCAAGACCCAGGTTGCACACCACGCCTACCATATGGACTGGCTCACGGATGACATAGTGCCTCTGCCACATTGGTATACATACGTTGTTGACGTTTCAAAACCGGTTGCGAACTTGGAATAGTTTGGAATTTGTCGACACATGTTTCCGTTTAGATAACTTTTCCATGCTCTATTCACAAATCATCACACATCTAGAGGAGTGAAGAGGGGAACGATTCATTTGGTTCCAACTGAATGTCAAGATGTTCATGATCATTTCAGCGGGTGTCAATGACCTAGTTCCACACTGTGCCACCTGTCATGTGGCCAGGCCCTTTTGAAGGTCACGACTGCTCTTCCTTCTGCGAAATATGCTAAGCTCGAAGATAGCAGTCGTCGGCATGCTGGCTCCAAGGCATTGAGCACAAACAACAATTTATAAACCAACGAACCAAAATTCAAGGTGCAAACTGTCTCACAAACAGTTCACATATATGACACAAAGACATAGCGATATGATAATGTGATATATATACATATGTATAATTTGCATTCTAGATTCTATATTCTGATTGATTATGATTTGTGTCCTTAATTATCATATCATATTATGGCATATTATGATTGCCTAATATTACATTTTTTCCTACACATTTGCCGTTCTGTGAAGACACACTCCATGGACATCGCTCCTAGTTCAGCTAACTTTGTCCCTTTTTTCAATTTTGTTCAAAGAGCCTCATGTATGGGCCCAAGTCTTAACTTCCCATTCTGCCCTGCGTCAGGCTTTGATTGCTGGCTGGGGAACTATTGATGAACACTGCACACAGTCCTTTGGCCATTTGTTCTTTCTAAGCTTTGAGTTGATACTAGAGGTGGGGTGAGAAAAATAGAGACCAATGTTTGATGAAACTACAACGACAATTCTGCAAAATGCACACCTGTTTATACTGTTTTCTGCAGTGGCCAAATTGGATTGAGACGTTTGCGTGTTTGATGCTGAGGATAGATGACGTTCTTCGAGAAGGAGACACCTATATTGAGGGAAGCAGTGCTTGCTTCCATGCCGATTGGACACCTGCCTGAGCATTGAGCATTGAAAAAACTGAACGAATCTTTCACTCGCCTTAAGGTCCATAGTTTTTCTTTTAACATCTGCTGCTGACACACACACACATACATAAGATACATGTATATGTATATATAATATATATGTATATTTATATATTGTATAATACACACATGGTATGCAACACAATATAGTCTAATATAGTATGAATGGTGTTCTTCGTACAGCAATGGGCCTTTGCGCCGCCCTTGAGGACCTTCAACTGGACGGAATTGGTGTGCACGGCTCACATCAACTCCACAGACAAAGCTCCTTGACCGATTCACATCTTCGGTTTTCACATAATTCGAGACATAGCGGAAAGCATCGGAAAGCAATGAGAATCAGACCATATTGGAACCAGTTTATGTTCAATCCTTTCCGTCATATTGGAACCAGTTTATGTTCAATCCTTTCCGTATTTCTTGTGTCACAGGTCGATTTTCTTGAGACGCGCTAGCCGAGGCTGTTGCGGGCGCTGGCTGCGGAGACAGTGGTGGTCCATTATTCCTTCTGGACAGCCATGGAAATGTAATCTGATAATATTGATAATGTTTGATAGATGATGATTCAATAATTGTGCAATGATGATGCAAGGTCAGGTGACCCATGTGCTTCACGGAGATGAGATCAGAGATAGAAAGATGCGGTCATGACTGCTGCAAGGAGAATGGTGAACTCATACAAGTGGGCATCGTTTCCTACACAGCTTCAGGCAGGGATCACTTCACTCGGGTGTAGCTCGACTTGACTTTTGAGCATGTCAAAGTTTACGCAGCTGCATTGATTAAATGTTGTTCTAGGACGCGAAGATTCTGTCCAAGTTGCACGGCAAGAGACTTTCTGAGGTTTACCTATATGGATTGGATAAATGGCATTCTCAGCTCACCTCCAGCGCAGTCCCAGATGCCACGGCCACGGTGTTTCAATTCCTGTCCCTTGGTTTACTGACCTTGAGATATCCCGCGTGCTATGGGAGGATCCATGGTCCACGGATGAAGTGTCCGATGTCAATGAGTGTCAATGTGCCATGTGAATCGATTTGACAAATTTGATGTTGAGTAGCGTTCATTTTTGAAGTTTGAAGGTTGCGATGACCCCGATTGGCTCGATACTTATGCGGAGGAGTGCCATACATGGACGGGTTATGTTGCTTGGCGCTAAGACATGTGGACCCCTGTGTCTTTGAGACCACCGCCGCGAGCTACCGGTGATACTGCATAAACCTGACTGTTCAATAAATCTCATTTACATTTCGTGACTGTTTGGCTGCATCGCTATCCGATATCTATCCTAAGGACTGCGTCGCCTACAGTAACTCGAATGTTCCTTGGCACCTGTGTGTGGTCGGAATGAGGCAGACAGAGGTAAGACATGGTAAGATAGTATCCGACCATAGGGATACTGGGAACTGCCACGCGCATTGTGCTGTGAAGCGAGGAGATGGGTACAGTGCAGCCATCGCTAAGTATCCATAAGTGTCCTAGTTCATACTTTAGGCATCTTTAGGCATCTTTAGGCATCTTTAGGCCATTTTGATGCCAAAGAATGCAACCAAAAGTCCGGCATAGTCTGGCAGCCCTTGATCGTTCTTGTTGCTTCTTTTTTTCTCCCATGGGCGGCAAAGACGCGTACAGTAAGCAGCTTGTCCAGCAGAAGCGCCTGCCATTTTGGCATCTGAGAGATTTTGAGAGTGCGTAAGTCAATGCAGTTTTTGCTCCTCAGATTGGCGTTATCGACTCCATTAGGGAAGGTGACCCGCTGGAAACTGGAAAAGTCAATTACAGTATATAGATATATAGTCTCTGCGGTATGTTTTTCTTGACAAACTCCGACCCTAAGAAGCGGTTCAGTGTTGGAGGTAGCGATCCTCATTTGCAAGTGACATGATCTTGAATCTAGAGTGTTCGTCTTTCCCCGTTTCGGGGTTGTCCCCCACTATATATATATATATACATTGAACGCACGACCCAAATATGATTAAAGACAAGTTGCACTATGGAGTAACTATTACAAGATTTGATGACCTGGAAATGCGATAATTAACTAATGGACAGAAGCAAGAAATGGATGAGAACACCTTGACCAGATGGTCGGCGGACTCCACTCAGAAGAGGCAGCTTATCGTTGGGGATCTGTCGGCAGTTAACCCAGACTATTCCCCAAACAGTGTGCTCACACTATGGGGTTCTTGCGGTAGGTGTTAAGGGCTGAGTTGATCAAGGGTTTGCACATAATTACGTGTTCGCCTCTTTTCCGTTTTAAAGGAAATCTTGGAAAAATACAGAGAAGATAAAACCATGACAGAAGAATTTGTAAGCCCATCAAGCTAGTTCAAAGAGCCTCTGGGTTTGCTTCAGGCTTGATGGCTGTATATGGCTGCTGAAAATAACTAGTGTTACAAGCCTACTGTTTTGACATGTTTTGCCATCCCTCATGAAGACTATCGTTTTGAGCGCACAAAAATCAGAACACACATTAGAGTCACAGCGTTTGACCTCTTAAACAAATCTTAATTACTAAGGTGGGCCTGCTGGAGAAGTGCCCTGCAAGTTGCAAGCGATGCCCTTCGTGCAAGGTGACCTGGGCACATTTGAGCGTGCTCTTGCTATTTGTTGGCAGCGTTTACCCTGAGGGCTGGAACCCATCGCAGCTGTCAAAGTCTTTTTGTGGTCTGTGTGCCCCTTCATACTCCGGGTTTTTGATTACCTTGCTCACATCAAATTGATATGAAGATGAATCAAGTGTACTTTTAGGACATTTTAGGACATCAACTTCAATCGACTCAGATTTGCAGATCCCGTCAACGTCACCCGGGGAATTTGTCAAGCAAAGGGACGATAGCAAAATATCTCACCGCACTGCCAGCTGATTGATGCAGAACAATCTTCTGAACAATGAATCTCAATAAATTTCAAAAAATCCAACCAATGGGACGCTTGGGATTCCTTGCGCATCGGAATGATTCCGGGTTGTTTCTTTCTTTTGGGTTACATCCCGAGAAGATTGCTGCGGTTCTTTGATAAATTATCAGCTTGCATTAAAACGCGAACCTCCCCGCACATATCCTGATATGATCAACGCATCTCAAGCCAACGTGCCACAGGCAACAAACCGGCAATGTTGCGATAACGTTGACTTTCTCGATGCTGTAGGACACCCACACATACTTGGATCAGTCTGTAACATTTATTTCTGGAGCACACCGTTCTGGTCCAGCAGTTTGGGTTGTGATGTGGAATTGATATCAAGATCCATTTGAGGTTTCATGGCGTTTCATGCATGTTTAATTCACATTTTTCTGATAGTGTGTTTGACATTGTTTGACCTGGGCTTGTTTCCATTGTTTCCAGGAATGCCTTGCATCAGTTGGAGAGGCGCAAAATCGTGGCCACAGCACCAAATATACACATATAATCACATATACATTTTCTCATATATAGCAGCATTGTTTTTGCAAAAAAACTCCTATCCTGGCGGAATGCAAGGCCTTTTGGGTGACTATGCTGCGTGATGGTAAATTGGCATCACTTGGCCCAAAATTGCTCTAAATACCCATGCCCTATGCATCAGTGACGATTTTTTAGGGCTGGTTTCCCATGCGTTCCTTTCTATCCAGATATTTGAGTTTTTATTCACCTCATTTTTCTTCATATCGCAGTGGTCGCAGGTCTTTCAAAAGGCTTTTAACTAATGATACCCGCCACGCCAGGATATGATTGCACAAATGTGGGCGGCGCCAGCGTCTTGGCAAGATATCGCAAGACAGTCAGATAGTCATAGCGAATCATGAGCTTTTTCTCTTTGATATGTAAGGAATGTTTACAGTAGATAGTAGATGATAGTAGTATGATAGAGTAGATGCCATGACCTCAGATTAGTCATAGTTGACCATTCATGTGCTACGCTCCATGTCAAAGAATGTTCAAGGAGCTTTGGCAAGACTGACGCAAGTGTTTGAGGTCCAGAGGAAGAGAAGGCCATCCACGACAATTGTCCAAACGCCTGCGGGCTCTGTTCTCCAGGAGACTTCGCAGAATTGGAGCGGAGCTGATGGGCCCATTTTGGGCCAAAGCCATGCTATGCCATGACATGCTGTGCTCACTAGCTGTTCTGTGCAGTACCGCTTGTTGCAATGCCTAGGGCCTAGGGCAGACAATTCCAGTGCATCCTAATTTTTCCAGATTACAGATATGCCATATCATGTCATATCATATCATATCATATCAGATCAGATCATATCATATCATACATATATATGTATGTAATTGATTGTAATTGTATAATATACATATAAAGAGGAGGCTGGCAAAATCTGGCAATGAATGATTCCAGGGTAGTCCTACCCTGAGCTCAGTGAGCCTTGCTCTCAAAGCCTGCACCCGCTCAGGAACAGACTGCAGCGATGAGGAGGACTGGAAAGATCAATATGGCTGCTTGTATCAGCTGACTAACTTGAAGATGAAGAGAGAAGAGGAGACAACAATGTGTGGTGCGGTTTTGTCCAGCCGCTCATTGAAGACTGCTTCGGTATATCATCAGCTGGACTTGAAGTTGCAACTTGAAAGCTGCTCACAGGGTTGCAGCTTTCACAATGTGGCTAAGGTTTTGCCTGCTTTCACTGGTCGCCAACTCAACTATGTAGGGATGTTTAGGGTGAGATTGCCGGAAGACTTTGTGCATTTTCATGAGAGAGATTGAAAGGATGGAGTCGGATCGTCATTACTAATGATTAGAGCATGCATGTTTGGCGGAGATGGAGACAAAACAATTAAAGTCAGCATTGAATCGATGGAAAGGCAAGCAGCAACAGCATTGAACAGCATTGAACAGCGGCACCAGATTGTCCTTCAACAGATGTTGGATTTGGATTTGGAGTAGAGCTTCAAGAACCCCAGGCGTGGCTATGATTGCTCAAAAGCAGTTGATGCTAAGCTGAAAATATGGATTTCATTGTGCTTTCTTGGCGTGCTTCAATGGGCAATTAGTACGCCTAGACGGATCCCATGAGTGGGATCCATGACGTTGTCATTTCCCTGTGCAATGCTGCAGATTTCTGAGACGTCAACGCTACACGATCCTCAATGAAGCCACGATGAAAATACGTACAGTAGTATATAAGATTATATAAGTATATTTTTTAAAACAATATGCATAATTACACACACATATATATATATATAGAGAGAATATGGATAGTATATGTATAGATAATTAATTATAAATAACTACATATATATTATTTATATGACAATCCGTGATTTAACTTGCAGGAGCCTACAGTTGCATGTGCATAGTTGTGATATAGGTGAAGTACAGTACCCAACTCAAGCGTCGAGACAAGCGAAAGTGCTTGATTGTGACTCCTGTCCCAAGCGCCTTCTTGCACGTGAGCGAAATTTATGCAAGCACTGCAACTTCAGAGCATTTTGAACTCGTTGAACTGAACTTTGTTAAACTTTGATTCTACTGCAGCATCTTTCCAATTCACTCAGCTTAGGAAAGCTTCGGTGACTTGACCTGCAGTAAAAGTGGGAGGGACATTGAACAAGTACTTCATCGTACTTCTCAATTTGTCCGTCCGAGCATTCTGTTGCACGTACCTTTGGCAGATGGACCCTCAATGAACAGCAACTTTCATTGAAAGCACCGCAGATAAAAGTACTCTCACTCTTGTTGCAAGTGTCAGCGCAGCGCTCTTGTGTTACGCATTCTTAGGCATTGAAGTGAGGTTGAGCAAGATGACTGCAAAGACTTGTTGGCCTGGCCAAACAGAAACCGACAATGCTTTGCTCAGGCTACTCTCCATCTGTGCAGGCTGAGATTCTGAAGTACTGCAACTTGGCACCCATAGAAATCATGCATGCAGTGTGGGATGGATGCTCTTCATGGGATCCTGTCTGTAGAAGTTGATATGAATTATCGAGCATCTCTATGCTCCTGCGAAGCTTCTACCCACATCTTAGCAACTCGTTGAATGATGCTGATTCTGCCTTGAATTGGATGGCCAATTGCTATACAATGCCATACAGTAATCCGATGGACATAATCTGTTCCATCTCTGGGATTGGTTGGTGACATGGTGAGAATGTTGAGACTAAGGCCCGCTCAGTTGCGGTTCCTGTACCGCCTCGTTCCTTGGCAATTTGATGACCACAACCAAGGGAACCAAGTGCCACAGCCGAAAGTCCAAAATATTCCATTTTTTTTCCAATGAGATCCAATGACATTTGTTTCCACAAGGCGCTACTGTAAGTACTGTAGGTGCCCATGTAGTTTGAAAATTGTTTCTTCCTAATTATTGGCCACGAAGACATGAGTAATCATCAGCGCAAACTAATGGAGAGCTGCAATCTGCAGATCTAGTCTGATCACCCTGACTTTACCAAGGTAATTAACAAAACGTAACAAGAAATGCTGTTTTAATCTGTTTTAGCTGTTTTGTTTGCTCAACTCTGTGCAAATCTCTGTCAGGAATGAAAACTCATCAGATGATGACTTTTCATCTTCAAGCCCATTGCCTTCGAGCTCATTGTCGGGCTTGCCGACATCCAGCTCATTTATGTCTGTGGATGCCGCTTGGATCTGCCGTGAGATTTGGCTCCCAAACTTGAAAATCTTTGAGGCATGATATCGCATCATTTTAGAGATTTTGGGAGCATCATTTTTCCGCATCGTTCTTGGCTGAAGATGCAGAAGCAGTATGAAGCAGTCAAGTGACCCAACAAACCACCAAGAGTAGCTGGACAGTGTGACTTTAGGGCGGCCGAGGCGGCAACGAGGAAGGGAATGAAATGGAATGAATAGAGTATAGACAGTATAAGAGCTTGAAAGAACAATCGTTCAACAGTTCAACGTGGCAGGGTGGTAACGTGATGTAACGTGATGTAACGTGTACATCTTCTGGCCCTGGGAAGAGGAGCCTGGACAGTGGGTCAGAGCTCCAAGAAGTTTGACATCAAGGATATGACAGGAATTGACAGGATAAGGGGCAGACATTTGCTTCCAGTGCATGTCCGGAATGTAGCAGGGGCTGAACGTCCTTTGCATTCCTTTGCATAATATTAAATTATTATTAATATATGATAATATATGACTGTTTCAAGATTGGACACGCTCTCAAGTTCCAAATGTAATGATCCGAAGATGTCTGAAGTACTGCTTCTGTGATCATTGTGCTAGGTTTGACACTGATTGGAGTTGTTAGCGCCAGGAGAAGCGCATGTTTCAACATGATCCAACCGTTTGCCGTCAGTGTCAAGTCAGACCCCAACGGAACGAGTCCAAGCTCATGTACACGCTGATTAAATATAATATATGATTTAATATATTAAATATAACATTTGATCTAATATAGTTTATTATATTGTATAATATGTATAATATATTATAATATATACTATAGAATATATAATATATATATTATATATATGTGATTTATTATATTGTATATGTGTCAATTTGGTATGTTTGATCGATCTGGCATTTCGATGCATTTCGATCACACATGTTGCAGCGAGGTCAATGGAGCCACTGGAGCATGCCGGAGATCCTACTTGGTTCTAGCACCAATTCTGTGTTTGCTCTATGCTTGCAAGCACTCCTTTTGAGAGCCGGGTTTTGAGGCCAGAGAAGGCACAGCAGTTCTGTTGATTCTATTTTCCATGTGATTTTCACAGAGCATAGTGCTGGGGTATTTTTCATCTGCAGTCAGATCGTGTCAGATCCGCAGATGGCCCTGTCTCGGCCAGGGCTCGCTAATGCGAACCAAATGGTAGAGACAGGGGCGCCAAAGAGCATACTTGGCCACAGGAGCCACAAAAAGATACAACATGTCCCATGCCATATCATAGACTATAGACTGCAAGCACAAGAATTGGCAAAGCCACTTGTGACTAGAATTTGAAAATGACGCCGGGGATTGTGCGCAAATTCGACAAGGGACTTGCTCCTTCCTAATGAGGTCATGGCTGGGAAAAAGGCACGATACATAAGAACACGGGAACAAGGGCTTGGAGTTTAATTGCCGCTGTGTTGCCTGAATACAATGATGCAATTGTACCTGCCTGATGGTCTCTTCCAAATGCTCTTAGTCTCGAGTGTCCATCATATTGTGGGACTGGAGGTCCACTATAGTTACTATAGTTGGGTGGTTATGGCATATTTTGACTTTCATGTGCAGTGCAGATGCACTACTGGCCAATGGCCAACATGTTGAACTTCTGCAGACGTGCTCGCATCTTCCAATCTTCCGATGCTGTTACTGCAAACTTGGCACAGCCAGGCAACTCCCAGTGGCCCAGTGCCCTTCTCAGATTTCGCCATCCATGAATCAATTCGTTGATCCCATGGCAGCCAGGCAACTCATTTGCGGGTGCCCTCCGGCACAGGATGCAGTTCTCGTACCTGATAGAACTACGGGACTCTACAGTTGGAGTTTTAGCAATGATTGAATTGGTGGCTAAAGGAATCTAAAGGATATATGATGATGATTGATGATGCATGTTTTTATATATAGTTATATATACACCTTTGTCGATGTTTGCCCCAGCTGTTTGTTGGATTCCTCAATGATCTCCATGAATTTCCCGCCGTAGCTGGCTCGAGCAGAAAGGGAGAGGGGTGGTCCTGCGGAGAGTTGTCGTTCTCCCTGTTATTGGTCCATTGCCATGTCGTCAAGGCCACAACCCTTTGGTGGGCTACAGGATGTGTTTCATGGGGCTTTGCTCGCTGTAGCAACTTTCATCAAGTTCCAATTTGGGCCCTTGTGGCCCTTCTGTGGTTTTGACTTTGAAATTGATTGCGGCACATGGATGCATGGGGGATATGAACTGCTTTTGGCTTTTCATGTTCAAACGATCTTGCCTTTTGATGTGCATTGTCAAACATCAGGCACTACATAGAGATGTACAGCTGCTTGGCTTGCGTTATCTTTCATTGCAAGAAGCTGAAAGAGGAAATACATATTTGATATTGAGATATATTTAGATTTTCTGGTTGTGGTTTTTTTCATGTTCTTTCGCAAGCCTGGGTTTCAAATGGTTTCTAGAATGCAGCAGTATGTGCATGTATGCAGCATTATGACGTGTGTAGTCCAAGGCCCCGCTGTGATTTCCGTGACTGGCAACTCACCCCAGCCGGCACCGGCATACGGTCGCATCTTCACATTGAACACACTGCAGTATGTCCCACTTTCAGCATACAGTACACCACAGAGTACTATGTTGTTGATGGCCGACGGTCGCTGCATGTTGGCGTATATAATATTAGATTGATATATATATATATATATTATATATATATATATTATATATATGTATAATTACTTTATATATAAATATATGCATACACATACAGTACAGGTATGTCCGTGTGTTTGTTTTTTGTTTCCAAGGCTCGCGAGACGCATGGCTGCATTCTGCACAGTGAGTGCATGTGAATGAAAAAGATCAGCAAAGAACAAGCTGCACCAGTTGGGAATGATGGCACAGGCTGCTGTTTTCATTGGGGTAATGAGATGTAATGAGATGTAATGAGATGTAATGAGTGTTTTTTGATGTTTTTTGTACGGCGAATCTCTGGCACATTCTCGCACCAAGGACCTGGCGGGCGGCGATGATTCTGAGAAGTCTGATGTGGATTCAGCCCTCGAAGAAGGCATCTCTTTGATTGCAGAAACCTCAGATTTCCAAAGCATTCGAACATTTCGAAAGCATTCAGCTGAAATTCAGCACAATTAATTGCTTTGTTTCTTTTGAATCTTTTGAGAAGTGTGAGCTGCACAGTTCTGTCTAGCAAGCTGAGGACTTGAAGGAACAGCTTGCCCAGGTTCAAAAGGCATTCTAGCTGCATTGATGGCTTTTTGAAGGACGTGTTGACAGTGCGCAAAGGGCCACAAGAATGCGCTGCATGTGCAAGTTGGGTATGTAGATCTGACTAGGCTTCACTTAAGCAAAGCCAAACCTCTGAGACTTCACGACATTGTGGGATTATGATCGATTATGACTCATATGATTATTTGATGGCAGCCAGCTGCAGCTGTATAAAAGACTATTGATGGAATTTGCAGCGGTGTACGCCAAATGTTTTGTATTTTGTCCCAAGGACAAAGCGCTGTTGGAAGTGGAGCTGAGCAAATGGGAGCGCAAATCAGAAAAGCAGCTTGCCATAACACGACTGGTTGACCGCTACCTGATCCCCGCACTTGACTGCTGAGTCCAGAGGGATGTTTGTTTGGTCGGGGAATGTTTTTGGTAATGAAGGATTGCCAATCTTCCATACTCGCGTGAAATCCCGATATTACACCAGTTATCACCAGTTTTTGTGGAAACATGTGGACACCCCACGTAGGATTTTGTAGCAAGTCTTGCACCAAGGGTCAAAGTCGAGATCCAGGCAAAAGAGGCCACCGTGGTGCGGCTGGCACGGCTGGCAGTACCTCCAGTGAGAGTGGACACATACATCATACATGTTAAACATATTTATATAAACATGGTAACAATAGTTAACTATTATACTATTGTCAATTGAGTCAATTAGATGATTTATTAATGTATACCGAATATAGTTATAAGTTATATCCTCATCAACATGTCATTATATGTCATTATATATATATACACATTTATATATGATATACATATATCAGGTTTGTCGTATATACCTTCGCGTTTGCTCATTCTCAGTCACCCTTTCAGATGTATGCTCATAGCATTAGAAGGAGGGAACCATCTCATATTGAACCCACGTGTTTCAACACCTTTGTCAGCTGGAAGGATGTATACATAGAACCTATACATGGACTGGTCATTCAGCTATGCATGGGTCAGATGGCTTCACTTTAGTCTTGATGCTGGGGTGAGGCAGAAGAGCATTCGCTGCAAGAGAAGATTGAATTCGATAGTTCGAACCCCTAGTTTTTTCATGGCCAATGAGGACGCCAGCTATCAGCTGCATAAAGGCATAAGATGGCATAAACAACCACTTGTACTGCATTCGACATACTTTCTTGACCTTGTTAACTGCTAAATAAGGATACATTGAAGTAAAACAGATATCATTTGACACAAGCAGTATCAAGCAGTGTGGTCATTTTTGTGCGAGGATAGTGTCAGCAATTGATATTGGAACTTAGACTTGGACCATTCTGAATCTCTTTATTGCAGTGCAGCTTTACCGCCCTGTCTTGCTTCGCCTCTGGTTTACCATCATCTCCATCTTGTCCTATTCCTTTTGAATTTCAACAGAAGTTGATTTTGTGCTGTCTTGATAACACGCCGGCATACAGAGAAGATTCTTGGCGCTGGCAGAAGGGGCTACACCCCACACAGTATCACACAGTGCATATCTGTCAAAACATTGAGGCAGCAAATCGCAGGCGCCTGACGGTGATGACGACAATCCGCCCGGTCCAGACTCATTGGAGTGGGTGGATGGCTCCATGGCCGCGATAAGAACCATTGTGGATGATATTGGATGATCATGGATCAGGATTTATCAGGTTATGTATTAGTTGACTCGACTTTGGATATGATACCACCAGGTTATGCGCAACTTCACAAGTGAGTAAAATGTTTGATGCTGAGGAGCCTGCTTCAACTTCTTTTCGATGTTTGTTGCCACTTGGCTATGCGCTTGATACATCTTCATATTGTAAACCTGTAGGATGCTGCAAGCCTATGATGGTGGAGGATGCATACATGTGCAACAAATACCTTGCAACATCTTCCAGCATTTTGCAACCCTTTATTGGTAATCAAGTTGGATGCTCGCAGATTCGGGACAGCGAAGATATGCGAGTGCCAGAATCCGCTGAGCCAACATTTGTATTGCGCACTTGAGACGTGTGTACACGAGGAGTTCTGTGTGCAAAACTCTTTGCTGAGGTGTTTGCAAACGTTACGATCATGGTGTTGAAGCATTTTTGGGACCCAATGACCGAAATCTCTGGAGTGACTTGTCCGCACTGGAAAGTGAAAGAGTGTGCACATGGGGGCACCGTCAAAAACGCGCCCCTCTGGAGCTCCTTTTGCTGCAGTCTGATTGAAGGCTGGCAAGGCAGGCAGAAGTCAGGCAGGACAGGTTTATTATGAGCAGCTTGCATTAAAAGCACATACGCACTGCACCTCGAGCACAAGCTTTTTTGATGTTCCCCGTGTCAAATTTCAACCTGAGGAATTGTGGTACTTCGATCAGGCTTTCCTGATTTTCTACGTCATTGTCTAAGCCTCAGAGTTTGGCTGCCAAAATGCTGGCTCCAATCATTGAGCCCGTACAGCGCTCATGAATTTCTGTCTTACGGAAACCCTCCCCCCTAAGTGAAAGATATTGAAAGTCTGTAATTGTGCAGAGGACCAAAAGCTCATGAAAGCTCTATATTTGCCAGTAATTAAGTCTGCGCCAGTTCATGTTTTTGTTGTTGTGGTATAGTAGGCATGTTGTTGTTGCTGTTACTGTTGCTGTTGCTGTTGCTGCTGTTGTTGTTGTTGTTGCTGTTGTTGCTGCCAGTGGTTGGTTCCTGCTTGCTGCCAGATAGCTACTGTGGGAGGGCTGATGCCAACTCTTCTGTCTATTACTGGGTCATTACTACGCGCCTCAGCATCTTTTGCGGGCACAGATTGGCATGTAGCTCCCTAGAAAGAGTCAAACTATGTCAACCTCCTACCAAAGATATGGAATGATATTTGGCAGGATAGACTGATTATCTTCATTCTGGATGAATGGAAATCATTGGAGCTAATCCCCCTTGGGGACCCCCTTGTTTTTCCGAAGGAGCTCAGCTTTCGCTTCGCCCTTTGGCGGGATCAATTGCTGTTTGGCCGACCCTGTTCCAAGACATGGTCATACTGGCTCGACACAGTGGTCGTGCAACTTGGCATTAAGAATATTCGAGAATCTAGTGTGAAACTGATCAGTTGGAACAACAGTGAGATCAAAGTGAACTCCGAACATCAAACATTTTGCAGTGGTTGCCCTTCTTCAAACCTCTTCAGCATGGAGTTTGCAAGCATGCTACAGCTCTGCTCAGGGTGACTTCCATCATAGAGCAGTGGATCCTTCCACTATTCATGGACATCAGTGGCGGGGGCTTTGGATTCTTGCGAATACTGAGGCTACTTGGCTGGGAGCATTGCCAGAGCAATCTACCTCCTCTAATCAAAGCAAAATACTCAATACTCCGTGACAAACTTGACAAACAGATCTATGGCACTCCCAAGGATCTTCCGTTTCGTCCGAGTTCTGAGAATTGTGGGGAAGGCCGGTTTGCGCTGGGCACGACAGAAACCAACTGCAGGATACCATGCAACGCAATGTTCATTTATTCGCCAACTGCTTCTCAGCATACCCTCATTCTTACTAGTACATAGCTGTTCTATGTTAAGTTATAATGTTGTTCTGACATTTCTTTCACTTCGTGTTTGAATGTGTTTGATGGCGTTGCATGCCAATCAAATTTATGATGTGATTTGTTTATATTTGTTTGCTATTCCAACACGTGCGCACAGGTTGCCCCACTTGTCTCGATTGTTCATGCTTGTGCATGTTTGTGCTATGTTGTATCCTACTGTATTCTAGACATGGGCATTGGCAATTTGCCCAGGTAACATGCATTGTTTTCATTGCCAGAATCTGCCGCCAGATCAACCTCATTGACTTGGCAGAGAATGATTTGTTCCTGGCATTTATGCAGCTTGTCTTGAATGACAACAGCTCCCTAGTTGGCCTGGGCACTGCCAAACGCTCGCCGGCATTTGAAATTTATTTCGCCTCCATCCTCCTTAAAGATAGAGAAGCTTGCTCAATACTGTATACATACTGACTCTAGAAGTCAAAATTCCAGAAGCGGGCTTGGACACGCCACGCGACATGCCACGCCTAGCTTTATGCTTTGAGGATGGCGGTCATTTTTCTCAACTGCATTGTGATGGGCATTCAGGCCGTTCTGGGATATTGAGGGATGCATGATCCAGGGCCAACCTCTCCATTGTGTATTGTTCATCATTGTGGCGTGATGAGATGGTGTTCTTTGGTTCAACTTGGATTTGCTCCTCTCCTGTTCATGGCCTAAGATTAAGTAAGTCCAAAGCAATTGATTCAGAACGGATGTAATTGACTGCAAATACTCGTAGGTCGGATTTGGCTAGCACAACGGCGGTTTATAAGAAGTGAGTAGTGCAGGGAGTAGATCCCTGCTTGAAATATGGTCAGCAAGGTCTTGCAAAACGGGCAAACGGACAGCAGACCTCGAAGTCAGACTCTGCTCTTTTTGATGGCCACCGATTACATCACTTTGCTGTATACATAATGGCACACAGGCCCACTGATATTGAAAAATTGTTCGCAGGGACATCATGTCACTATAATCGCTACCTCTTTCGCTGGCTTTTGCATCAATGGAAAAATCATGAAAAATCCTTGTCTAGCATATGACAGAAGGTTGTAGAACAAGAAGAACCGGCACTCAAACATTGAACTGTTAGCGCTTGGCTGGACATTTGGGTTGTGATTTTGTCAGGAAGATTTCCCAAAGTGGGGTTGCTGGATCTACTTTGAGAATTTCTTCTTGGGCACCTACCTCAGACATCCGTTTTGCGGTTGAGGTGGAATGTACTGTACTGTAAGCTGATCCCAAATGCGACAACTGGCGACAACAGTACTAGATTGTACTGTTCTTTTTCAAACACTGCTCCATATTTCGTTGAAAATTCAGCAAATCATGTGCGGGGCGGTTTCTGAACAATTCTGAACACAGCTCTGCATCCTGATGAGGTCTTTTCTTCTTTGAGCTCGTCATCAAGTTGAACCATTTCGGAAGTTCTTTTTTCTGCAACGACCAGTGCCCTCGAGAGCACTTTACACGTGCAGACTGCGGACAGATCGCATGACTGCAAGCAAATAGAGAATCTATACTTGGAGCAATAGCACCAGCTAGGTGCTGTGACTTTGACATTTGACATACTTTCTGTTAGTTGGACTGGTTAGAGCATGGCAGGGACTTGGGTGACTTTTGAAGAGATGCAGGTGGGTCTACAATTGGCTGGACTTTGTCAAGCACTGAGTGGCGCATGTTCCCAACAGAGCCTTCATGACCTGGCTGAAGCACAATGACTCAGCTGAGGTGATCGTTGTTGGTGGTGACCTGGCTGGACAAGAGATCCTGGCTACAATCATCTACAATCTATTACCGTGCATATCCGTGCATAGTCTGAGTAGATTATATGATATTACATGATATTACAGTGTACAGGTATTGTGTATAATGTCTCTCCCTCTCTCTTCTCTCTCTCTATCTCTCTCTCTCTCTCGTTTCAATGTGATTTGATTCAAGTTGTCCTTTTGCCAAAGACGGCAGAACCTGGTGATATTATGTTAGTGCTCTTTTGGACATTAGCAGGCCAACATATTGGGTTGAGATGGGTTGAGCATTTATGGTGTTGATCTTGTTCTTGCTGCTGTTGTTGCATCCATCTAGTGCCATCTCCCATCCAGTTTTCTTCGTGTCACATTGCAGGCTGCCTTGACACCTGGCTCCTTCCAATTTTCAACTTCTTTGCGTCCGAAGCTGGACAACCAGAAGAAGGATCCAAGGCACTAGGCACCTTGGCAGCCTTTGGCAGCCTTAGCATGCAGTCTTGATATGTCTCGACATGTCTCGATGCTGGAGTTAAGCACATGCAATTCCCTGACCTAGCATTGTGGTTTAAACAGATGTTCACTTATCTACACCATTGTGGTTTAAACAGATGTTCACTTATCTGGCTGTCGATCTCTAAAAATTCTGGTGGACTCAGGCCATGCAATGAACATTTTGAGGACTGCTTGCAGACTTTATGTGATGTTCTGTGACCTGAACCTTAGAGTATGCACCCGTCGGGTGCTGGAGGTGCTGAGCGGAAAGCTGGCAGCGGAAATCATCGGAAATCAGTCGCTGGTATTAGACCAACAGTCCCCAAAATTCCCAAAGTCCCCCCAACGCCACTCTTGCATTTTGTTCAGGATGCTACGGTTGGCTTCTTGCTTGCACTTATCCGACTTATCAGTACTACAAGATTCTGTTCGTACTCCCCAGTGCCATGATTCTGATGTTGAGCTGAGGTCCGACTGCTGCGGCTGATTCGATTGGCACAGGGCTTGTGATGGCGTTTGTAATTTGAAAACAGCCGACAGTGTTTTTCAGGTTGAGTGATCTAAATCACTCTAGAATCCGCGTCTTCAAACAAAATTACTCTCCATGGACCCAGCATGTCTATGGATTTCCGATGTGTCGAGCGATCCAGGTGCGAGGAGTTCCACAACTCTACAATCTCCTCAAAGGCATCATAGAAGCAATGCAGGGAATGCTGTGGCTCTTGGTGCTGACAACTGCCGTGCCTTGGCTGCCTTGGCTGCCTTGGCTTGCACCATCTTGCAGCTTCTGCACCTGGATGCGAACACCGCAGTGACTCAGCAGTTGCAGAATAGCTTCACTCGGCAAGTTCTTTCCTGCCTGAAGCCAGAGCAGACAATTTGCAGACAATTTGCAGACAGGTGATTTACATCATTGCACTTGTGGTGATGATGCTGTGGGGCAAGGCCTGCAGTTGTGAGCATGCTTTGGCATGCTTTGGCCATGTTGTGAGGGAATTTGGGAGCATCCGTCTGGATAAGCAAGATATGTAGCACACTGCTTGGTGTGAGAGCCAGCTATTACGGCTATTACTTCAACCCACCCAAGAAATCCAACATTGATTCGGAAAGGGGTGTATGCTTGGTATGAATTGAACGTGATCGAACGTGATTGATTGCTGACTGCCATAGACCACATTTAGTCTCGAAATTTACCTGCGCTAATGATGCTAATGAATGAAGATGGCTCAAGCGATACATCAGAGACCCTTAATGTGGATCTTTTATTAATTGACAAATTTAACATCTTTAGTTTAAGCTAGGCCAATGCAAACCCTACTCTGCTAGCTTTCTCCACCCAAGTTCGACTCAGGATGGCTTGGTCACAGCAGATGACTCTCAAGAAATCCGCGATGTGTTTCCGAGCGTGGGTAAGGCACCAAGATTTACTTCAACTTTGCTCTTGGTAGCACAGATTGACCATGCTCCAGGTCTTGAGGGTGCGCAATAGAGAGAGAGAGAGAGAAGGCAGTTTCAAAGTTTCAATGGTTGACCTGATGTCTCCGTTTGATCCCATTTGTGTCTTGGTCATGCCGCAACAAATGCCCGTGAAATTTGCGTAATCCTGTTTGGGTTCAAGACTCAAGCTGCGTACTCCATTAGAGCTCCCGCGTTGCTTGTTAGAACAGCAGTCACTTGGCTTACTTCAGTTTATTTTAAGATATTTTAAGATTCTTCAGGGTTTCACCATGTTTGACCATGTCTCACCATGTTTCACAACCACAACTCTCACAACTCTCACCCAGCTTCACCAGGTCATGGCGGGAGACCCAACAGAAGAGGAGCGCCCCCCGCAATTGACTGCGGAGCACCTTGGCCATGTCTTGTCAGCATTTGGAACATCTGTAGGTTTACTAAGGTTTACTGATGTTTACTGCAGGTAGTTCTGAGGTCAATTTGTACTAATTGAATTAAGTCTTGTGATTTGTAGACTCAGGTCTTTCTGAACATAATATTGTTATCTATTGTTATTGCATGTTATTGCTATGTCTTTATATTTTATCATTTATCATTTTTTTTTTGTGGAGCAAAGAGTGCGCCAGTGCGCCCTTCACATTGTCACTGGTTTGCTTTAGCATTGCTGAGTCACAGCACTCAGGCAAGCCCAGGAGCTCGTGCAGTTCGACCTATCCATGAGGAGGGGATTACTGGAAGATCTATTTGGCCATGCATCAACATATATTAATAAATTATTATTGTTATTTGTTATATATGTTCCTTATATTTATCATGATTATTGATGATTATTGATGATTATGATGTTATTGCTATTCTTATTGCTATTTTATATACTGTATATATATAATTATACAATATTATACATATAGAGTCACAATTATTATTGTACTATTGTTTTTTTCCCCACCTACCAGGTGAGGGTTGTTAGATTTTATGTCAGTTGCTTGCTCCTCCTCCTCCTCTCCTCGTCTCCTCTCCTCGTCTCCTCTCCTCCTGCTCCCTGCCGGACCTCAACCACGACCATCCACGCCCAGTGTGCCCTGCCGGACCTCAACCACGACCATCACCGCCCAGTGTTCCCTGCCGGACCTCAACCGCGAGTATCCACGCCCAGTGTTCCCTGCCGGACCTCAACCACGACCATCCCCGCCCAGTGTTCCCTGCCGGACCTCAACCACGACCATCCACGCCCAGTGTTCCTGCCGGACCTCAACCGCGAGTATCCACGCCAAGTGTTCCCTGCCGGACCTCATGTAGGAAGATAAAATGTCAGATAGAGTGCCAGAAGATTTGCCAGGTAGAATGCCAGAAAATATGCCAGAAGATATGCCAGATAGATATGCCAGAAGATATTCCAGAAGATATGCCAGATAGAATGCCAGATAGAATGCCAGATAGAATGCCAGAAGATATGTCAGAAAATATGCCAGAAGATATGCCAGATAGAATGCCAGATAGAATGCCAGAAGATATGTCAGATAGAATGCCAGAAGATATGCCAGATAGAATGCCAGAAGATTTGCCAGATAGAATGCCAGAAGATATGCCAGAAGATATGCCAGATGGAATGCCAAATAGAATGTCAGAAGATATGTCAGATAGAATGCCAGAAGATGTGCCAGTAAGAACATGTATAAATGTCATGGTGGGGATCACACGAAGTAAAGTAATTTTCTTATTATTATACTTATCAGTATTATTGTATTAGTGTTATTCTTATTACCATTATAGTTATCATTATTGTTGTGTTATTGTATATATTATTGTATTGTATTATTGTTGTTCTTCTTCTTATAGTTATCACTATTATTGTATGTTTGTTATTCTTCTTATTATCATGGTGTTCTGTTTTTCTAATAACCGAAGATAAGCGAGAGAGAGAGAGAGAGAGCAATAAGTTATCACTATTATTATTGTTTTTATTATTAATGTGATTATGAATGTTATTATTTTCATCATTATTATGCAATGTTTGGGGGGATGAACATCTATAAATCCCAGCCATTTTTGTGTGAAAAAAACAATGGCAACAGGGTTTTGACCCATAACCAGTTGATACCTTTTGGTGTAGCCCTGTAGACATGTCCCACATGTGCGCATTTTTTTGGGGAACCGCCAGACTCGTGGTGATCGTAGAAGCTGATGTCTGTATTTGAAAGCAAGTTTGTGCCAGAGTTGCCGATGACTTGGTCATTTGTTCCATGCCCCAGAGATCCTTCGAGTCAGTATGACAAGGTTGATACCAGATGCTTGTGAAGAATTTCAGCAAAACATGGGAACAGGTGGAATAGGTTTTTTTGTGCCTGCAGACGGGGCAGATGCAAAGCAGGATGGTGCCCTTCCTGGACAGACATTTGATCTTCCCGGTCTTCAACTTTCTACAGGAGTCCATGAGCACGTGGCATCCGTATATTGCCTATTATATATATAATGTACATTATGCATACATATATATATATATATATCCAATTACTACCGCATATGCACACATGCTAGAGAGAGAACTGCCTGTACATTCGCATGTCTGAGGAGACTGGTCTCTACAATGCCACAGCCATCCACCGAGCGCAGCTAACACTCCTGGCAGAGACGATGCTTGGTCTCATCATTCCGTATCCATACAATGGCCGAACAGCAACAAGTACAGGTTAGACCACGCATGACCACGTTTTCCACATCTTTCCACTCTTGGATACGCTTGATGTCAGTACAGCAGTCACATGCAGTCAATTTGTTTGTCGCTTCAAGCCACCTTACATAGTCAGCAGTTCCAAAACTACACTCTGGTAATTTAACATAGCTATTGAAAATGGCCATTTATAGTGAGTTTTCCCATTAAAAATGGTGGTTTTCCATAGTTATGTTAGTTTACCAGAGGGTACTTCGAAATTTGAAAGCCTTTTGCATCCTGCAGGAACATGATCGACTGGGCGCTGGAGACATACTCTCTGATCAATGAGGAGCAGCCTCAAGAGCTGATGGACAGGCCAGCATCGTGCTACTCAAACTATACTGAGGTACTTATTGCACAATATGCATCAATATGATTCAAACATGATTCATATATGATTCACATAATTTCAAACATCATTGCGCGATTTCTGGATATGAGGTATGAATGGCGCGTAGGGGATTGTTTTCTTGTTTGGTCTTTTGCACTTGAACGGACTGGTTGAAGGCAAGTCTGAACGTGCGCAGGGTATGTCGTTGCCAGCCCTGAGGCGAGACATGGTTCTGCAGCAGCTCGAAGATTCTCGGGAGAAGGCCGGTTAGCTGCTGAAATCTGCTGAAGGCCTTGTGAAGGCATTCGCAAGGCCCCGTAGCAAAGGATTTGAGAACATGCCACTTCAACCCAGTAAATAAGGATACATGAGGACTGTGTCTGTGTTTGGATAAGGTATATAAGTCGCTCAGTAAGCTCATTAAAGTGGGTAGGGTTTCCGAAGACATGATACCCGGAGGTGCTGCCCCTCCTGCAGATTCTCGAGGACCTTGGACACCGTGTCACAGAATTGTCCTTCATGGGCCTCCAAGCTAGTGCAATTTTCATAAAGTGCGCATAATTGTTACCTAGAGGTTTTTGCTTGCTTTTGCGATGACAGGACCATCTTGATTTGTTGATTTCTGTTGATATATAAAGTACTGTATCGTACTGCATTCATTTGCATAGATTACAGTAATTCTTAGCCTACAATGCCAACACATGCAGGCTATGATATTGATGAACCTCCATCGTGTGCCTTTTGTTGAGCTGGAGCCGCGCAGGAAGAAGAGAAAGTGCAGCGTGTAGCCGCCTGCAAAAGCATCGACGAGCTTCTCAGAGGGAATCTCATGAGAGCATGTTTGAACGGCAGGGCCTTTTGCAGCGACAACGTTTGGCAATGTTTGATTGTCACTATATGCCAGTGCTTGTCAGTCACACCTCTTAGTCAGTCGCATCTCTATAGTTGTGAATGTTGTGAATGAGGGACCCGTGGTCAGTGGTCATTTGCTGTCTTCGTTGTATCCTAAGGCTTTGCCAGACCTTTGAGCTGGATCCCACGGTCATTGATGGAGTCTGGGCTTGGGTTAAGTGTGAGCTGAGATATTGCTGAGACAATAAGCACCAAACCGATCCAAACTGCGCTTTTTTGAAACGTAGGACGACTTGCCTCAGTGGTTGATTTGGTTGAATCAGACCTTGGCCTTGAACAGTCGATGATCATCCAGGACTAGTGCACTATGCAAAGCTGCAGTATGACTGCGGCAACTACACTCTCAGTGGCGAGTTGCTGAAGCACTACAGGAGCATGATCTCCCAGGAGAATTTGGGTCAGAGCAATGAGTCATAATATATCATAATGAGTCCTTGTAGATCCTTGCAGCAGTATTTTTGCATGGACATCTGCAAAATCAGGTCTATGGTGAGTTTCGCTGTGATTTTGGAACGTTTTGGACTGCTGGCAGCCACTGGCAGCCACTCATTTGCGTACTCCCAACGTCAGGATACAGAGCGCCCGGTGATGACATCCAAGCAGGCAAGAAGCACAATTTGGACATGCATGGGCAATCATGGGCAATACACGGATCATGCTTGTTCTTGCCCGCCCCGGAGCTTAACGGGCGGCCCATGATGACCTTTGATGACCTTGAATTCGAACAGGTGAGCTGCATTTGGGGTTCCCTGGCATCCTTCATTCTGAATAGAGAGTTCGAGGAGGTGCCTTGCAGAAGACTTGCTTTGCAAAGTGTTGTTGTGTTGCAAATGTTGCAACTTGCACCTACACTCGCACAATAATTGTCAAATATTGTCAATAGTTAAGGTGTGAATGCTTGTGAGGGGACAGTGTTCGCGGTAAGGGAGAGTGACGTTGCTCATCATACCTCAGTTTCCAGCCAGTCTTTGTGAAATTATGGCCCCATGGGCAGCTGGGAGAAGCAACAAAGCAAGCTGGACCAAGCTGTTCATCCGAGATTCATCACTTTCTCACTTTTCAGCCTGTGAGAAAAGCCATGGAAACCTGTGGTGCCGTTCTGGACCAATATTCGCTATGAGTTTTACTACGGTTTTATGAAGTGTTTTTTTGCTTGGCATGTTGTGCTCAGATGATATCTATATAAATGTTTATTGGGAATGGTTGCCGCATATTTTGATCAGAATTCATCGCCTCGAGATTTGGCATCTCAGGCCACAGATGGAGCAGAGCGAGCAGCCGATGTGATCTTCAAGATCAATGATTTCCTAGACACCACGATGCTTGAACAGTGAACCGTAATTATTCTGTAGCCCTCAGTACTTGATGGGCCCGCATACGTTGTGTACATTTGTCAAGATGAGTCCATTTTTGGTAAGACGGAACTGACTGCAAACAGCCAGTAATCACGAAGAAGAGGTACAATCTGGAAAGAATTTTGCAGTTGTTCAAGCGCTTCCAGTTGCGGCTGTTAGGAAAATGTCCAAGAAGGAAGTCTTGCTTCAGCGCACATGGCTGCTGCACTGGTCCCTCTTCCCAATTTTCACAGCAACTCTGACTGCAATGCATTGACAGACTGTTCAGAAGCCTGAGACCCCACTCGTTAAATTCAACCCAGCCGCCCTTTCCCTTTCCGGTCACGTAGTTTGCCTGTTCTCCTTGACAACCAGGCAGAGAAAGTGGAAGTAAAGCTGCTGGATTTCTTCTTGAACGAGAAGAGCTTGTGCGGCACTGAGCTGGGGCCGGGTAGCATGTGCTTTGACATTGCTGGAACCTTTGACCACTCTTGTGCCATCTTTGGCCTTTGGTTGTTTTCATATGAGCTATGGTCAATACTCATGGTTAATAACCATTAATAGGGGCTAGTCATCCAATGGTTCATAGGGATTTATAATAACCCTTATAAGGATCCTTATTATGGATGGGTTGACCATCAACCATATAGTGAGTATTGACCATGGCTCATATGTTTTCATTTTCTTCCACCTTTCAGACATTTTCAGCGTTCAGGTCTTGCATCTCCCTCTCATGCCCCCACCTGTTCCGGTACGTGGCCTCTTGCCTGATCCTGCAGAAGCGTTTGAAACACTTGATGAAGGACTGTCCCTGGAGGAAATTCGCACTACTTCATGTGATCCATGTGAAAGACGTTGCCGGAGAGGGAACTGAAGTGAAACAGTTCTCACTGAGAAGTTCTCACGTGTCAATGTTTGGAGGACACCGTTTGGATCATCCAGCACGAGTCTACTGCAAGTTGGCTTCAATGTGGATGATACGGGATGCGGCCATTGAAGATATTGAAGGTAATGCCGGCATCTAGCGGCCTAGGGGGCCTAGGGGATAGTCGGCACAAGGAAAGGCAAGATGAATTCATGAAGAATCTATGAAGGGTAGACATGGAGGTGGAAAACCACGCGATTTGAAACACGGACGCACGCACCCACACTTTCAAAGGAGAGTGCAGCAGTGCAGCACCATTTCCATCCATTTCCATGTTTTAAGTTTGAGATATTTTGAGATGCTTGTTGATCTCTATCATTGCTGTCGGTCTGTCGTCAAGCTTTTCATGCCTAAGGTGTACAGTGACCCTGTGACCCGATTTCTTTTAGCGCTCTATGTGGACATGGAAGCTCAGACTCATCATTCGGTGAGATGCTGCACAGTGATGTGCAAGCAGCTGTAAGTTGTTTTGGTGAAACAGCCCAACTGGACAGCAAATTCATGCAAATTCCATGACCGGTTTCCTTGTCGAAATGGAATCAACATGGGACGACAGAAAGTTTCACCAGTCAAACATGTAGCCACATGTAGCCACAAAAACCTGTGTTTGTTTGGCTGAGGATTTTGATGAGGCACAGCTTGAGCTTCAAAAATGTGTCGCTTGGAGGTGAAGTTTCAATCAATTTTAGCTGCATGGAACTTCCAATAAGAATTCAATACCCTCCGGTAAATAAACATAGACCCTGAAAATCACCAATTTTTAATGGAAACTAGTCTTCCAACCCCTATCTGCCAGGGTCTATGTTAATTTACCAGAGGGTAATACATGACGGTTTCATTTGAAGGGCTTTTTGGCATCAGGGACCTGTGAGGTCTTGACGCTCGGCAATCCTGTTTTGTGAAGTTTTACGGCGATTCATTTGTTGATCATCATGTCATCCGCAGAAATTTGACTGTTCTTCCCTGTGGGCCCTTAGCATGAGTTTGGAGCAATTCATTTCTTGAGCCACCTTGTGCATTGTTTAGCTTTTCAATGCTTTTGATTACCTTCATCCTCGAGCTTGCGAAAGAGGGGGACCCACCTAGTCCTGCATTTTTTTCATAGGGACTCAACATGACTCAACGGTGATTGGTGTCTCGGGTTTTTTTGTGGCGATCATGGATTGGACCCGCAGAAATTCCCAAGGAGAAGGTGTGCAAAGTGGACTACTTCCTGAGCCGCCACTGGGCTGAGTTCCAAGAAAATGCACGTTTGCTGATTTTCGAGACGTACTGCAGGCAGGGAGCGAACTGTTGTGGGATGGAAAACTGTGGGACACTATGGGACACTATGGGAAACTGGGTCTGCATCCAAAACAAAAGCAGAGTTGAAGAAGTGCTGCAGCTTTGGTATCAGCAAAACACACCGAATCAATGGAAACAGGGCACCAGATGAGGGGCAGTGGAAATCCAATGGGATTTCCACTGGTGCTCTTGGGTGAAAGCCAAGTTTTGCAGGATTCACCAGTGCATCAACATTGGCATGATCGCTCACAAGCTGAACATGGAAGCAGAGGCGAATTGATAATTATTGTTCCGTTCGTCAGTTTTGTCATTGTCCACTGTGCATTTGGACGCTTGTGTCGGTTTCACGCTTGCTTTGGAATTAGTCGTCGAAGCTTTGCCGGACACACTTGGACACTATTGCCGCGCAGGAAGCAGAAGTTTGGATTGCAGGACCCTTAGAAAAAGCAGAAGCAGGTATATGTCTTATCATGCCACATGCTCATAGCTTCAGTCATACGGAGAGAGACATGTGTGTTGGCTGGGAGAGTGCGTTGATACTTCTCATACACCTGACGGGGAAGATTGCACATAGCATAAAGCAACAAAGCGCAACACTTCCCTGGACCTGTGACCAATCAAGGTGAAATTAATTCAAAATGCCAAGCTAGATGCTCGAATCGACTCAGAGAAGAGCCGCGTGGTGATGTCAAAAGCACCACCCAGCGTCTACCAGCAGGTGGGGTGCAGCTTTGGATTCAGCAGCTGTATTTGGGTCCACTAATCACCTTGTTCACCCTTAAGATCATTCATCTTCCACCATGTCCAACATTGTCCAACATTGTCCTACGGCTACAGGGACTGCCTATGACTCCTGGCAGGTCATTGAGAAGACCAAGAATTTGTCCTTTAGAAGTACCATGCGCCTTGGTTGCATATATCTTAATCATCTTAATTTGGGAAGCGAGGTATTGTGAATATTTACGAAGCTGAACCCAATCCATTTAAATGATTCATGAGTTAAAAACCTTTGGACAATGTTCTCCATGCGAGCATGTGCCTTGGCTGTCAGAACTGTCTCACAGCTGAAGGCTGCTTTCCAACCTGGAGAAGCGCGAGAAGGATCTGAGGGCTTCAAGCCGTTTTCAACCTGGCTTCGTAACACTGATCTAGATCATTCTAGATAGATCATTCTAGATCTATAGAATTATATAGATATGCGATATGTTTGGATGTCGTTCTTCCACATGTTGGACGTTTTGTGCAGGGAATGATGTGGGTCAGCAACATCAACAACCCTGCAATCGGTTTTTCGTGGTGTTCGTGGATGTTCGTCGTAGGAGATGCGCAGCAACACCTCCTGAGTGGTGGCAGATGCAAATTCGTCTTAGGGCCTGCTGAATCTGCTGAGCGGCAGAAGAGGTCAATAGTTTCTGGAGTCCAATAAGTCCACGTCCAAAACCTTCTCTGCCCAGTTTGGACACATCTTAGAGCCGCGAAGTGAGGTGACAAGTTCTTGAAGAGGTTGAGGCAAGAAGGCTATTCTGTACTGAGTACAATCTGAGTACTGTATATGGTAACACGATGTAACACGCTCAATCTGAAATTCCAACTGCCAGTTGATAAGAGGACAGATTTTGGCAGCCTAACGACACATACACACATAGAGATGATGTAATGTGTGTATGCGTATACTTATGCCGTACATAGCATATACAATAATGTATTTACACTATGCAAGATGTGAATGCAACACGAAAGATCAACAAGACAAACGAACCAGGTGATGTAGGATTAAGATGGATTAAGCACAACAGGCGCATGGCATCAAAAGATAAGACACTGTAGAACTACATAGGCGCTAGAGATGAAGTCTGACAAAACAACGTGGGGCATGAGGTTTTGGTGGCTTCCCAGGCAGGACCCTCTCTAAAGTCCTAAGCCCTCGACCCGAGGCATCGGTTTGGGCTGCCGGGTTTTTGTGAAGTCACCGCTGTCAAAACGACACGCCATGATCGTCATGGTTCGCCTCACGGCTTACCTCCATTCACAAAAGAGAAAATATAAGTTATATATTACACACATATATATATAAGTTACAACGGACAAAGAGCTGGTCGCAGATGGAACGATACAGTTGACTGCTAAAGTCGTGCCTAAAAATTGGAAATCATCGTAAACATTCTTCTTATACATACGCGATTCCATGGTGTTTTAAGATTTGGGCATGACTTAGGCATGAGTTTCTTGAAACAGCGATTCCATGGTGATCTACTAGCAAGTTTTGACCCAAGCATGAGTTAGGCATGAGTTTGTCGTTTGACTGTAGAATCCGATAGAACAAAATTAATAATTATATGATATATATATATATGTATATATGAAATTGAATGAGTATCAGCGCTCTCTCAGGTCAATACTAGTGGAGGAAAAAGCCAACATGGGAATGGGGTCACCCCTTTACAAGGATGCGCCAAACTGCTGCAAGAAAAAAGGGACGTTCTTGAGTGGAGAGCGCCAACTACTGCAAAACTTAGCCACATGCGCATGAGGACCACGAGGTTTATTTCAGTACAAAGACGTAAAGAAAGAAGAAGAGAAAGAACGTTCAGTGATGTTGCGTTTTTTTGCGCATGCGGCGTCTCAGAACATTTCGACTTTATATTTAATGATTATTTACGTATTTCATCGAGCTGTTCTGAGGCAAGACGATGTGGACACTTTTCATGGCGATGAATGGAGATCCAGGAGGCATGCAGCCATTGTTCGATGCCTATCCTGGAACCCTCGTCTTTGCTGTTCTGGCCTTAGAACTGCATTTGCGTGTGTTTTTTTCTGTGCCAGTTTGTCATTCAACATGTGACTACTTGCTTTCTCTTCTGCAAAGCTTGTTCATATTTGTTGATTGAGCAGCTCTGGGCAAATCAGGCTGGCTACATGATTTTCACAAGCTTTGCTGGAATCCCAGCATTTGTCAAGCTTGTCACCAGGTGTCATGTTCAGATGCACAGAGATTCTGTTCAGAAAATGTGTTCACAGTATCTGACAACAACAATTTAAATGGATTTAAATGGAACCTTTGCGTGGCTCATGATATCATGATGATATCATGATGATATCCCAAGAGTTGTGTGGCAAAACTCAGCCTGGGACTGCTGAAGCTGGTGCTTCTCAAGGCCATTCTATCCGTGCTGACTGGTGTGGCCTTGGCCTCAGCATGGCACTTGTGAAAGCTGCAAGATGCTGCAAGCTTGGAAACACGAGGAACATATAGATCATATAGATTCATATAGGAAAATGATGGAAAATATATATAGATCATATTAGATTCATACAGGAAAATGGGGAGATATAAACTGCCTCAGACCCAGGGAGATCCAGGGAGCATCAAAGCGAAAATTCAACAAATTCCATGGACCGAGGTGGCAGACAAGATGGCAACAGCAGCGGAGGAACACACCAAGGAAGTCGAGGCAAGAACGGCTTCAGAAGTTGGGGCAATCACTTGGGCAGTACATATCACGTAAATAGAAACAAATAAACATTCATAAACATACATAAACTAACATAATGTTATTAAACATCATGCACCATAAATCAATACTTTGAGACACTTTACCTATCTCAAACTATCTCGGCCTATTTTGCGCTGTTCTTGCTACCAAAAGCATGCATTCGGGCTTTGCTACTGGCAGTTTTTATATGTTCAGCGCATGTCACCAAAGTCACGAAAATATGTGATATGTGCCGATACATTGTACATGTCAGTTGAGTGTTTCAGTTGCAGCCTTGAGACTTGAGACATTCAAGAACACAGCGTCGCAGTATCCCCTGTGCTTGGACATTGGACAATGTGAATGCGTAAATTATTCGATGAGATTAACTCTCGTGGGATCGGTTGCCCCTTTGCTACATTCCGCCATCAACATTTACATGCCATGCAGATTTTCCAAGCACAGCTTTTGAACTTGTGCGTAGGGCTGCAGAAGCGTGACTGCATTGGCATGCCTCTGCTGAACAGGAAGAGTCTCAGAAAAAGCAGGACATGCACACCTCGAAATACTTGGAGCGGATCTATACAGCGTATTCCGAGAACGGCTCCTTGGTATCAACTCACAGGAGGTTTTGTGAAAAGACTCCATTCCGCAGCCGCCTTACCCATCAGGAAGGTTACCCATCGGAAGTACAACAAGTCGAAATATATAAATGTGTATAAATTAAATGCATTGAATTAAATATAATAACATATAATGTATATAATGTATATGTCAATTACTTGAAATCTTGAGCTTCAAGGAATTTCAGTTTGAATCTGTTCGTAGTTGGTCACCAACTTGCTGAGAGTGACATGCTGTCACTGGCGGTCGCCCCATTTCTTTCACGATATGTTGGCATGTTTGTGATTTGGTACGGGCTTACTGACAGCCAAAAAAGTCAGCGCACTGTGAACAGGCCGCAACAGCCCTACGTTCTTGGATATTCTTGGTCTTTTATAACTTTGCAAATTGTGAGTCCTGCCATGTCCTGCCACTCTGCTACGAAGGCAACTCCTGCAGATCCGTTGTTGATCCCCTGAGGCAGTGGTGGAATCACCCAAAAAACCTACAAGGCAATGCTCGATGATGAGGATGTGGCAAAGGCACTGGGGATCAATGGGACCAAAGCAGCCCCAAAAACCTGTTCCATCCTTTTCCGAAATATTGATCTATTTGCAGATAGTGTTGGTATCCTCTTGACAGTGTATAGGACATTATAGGACTACAGTATGAAAGGGCTTTACTGTATACAGTTGTTACATGAGCACTTGAAAGGAGCTGTGTGAGATCCTTAACATGGAGATGCCCGAGCTTGAAGATGCTTGGGAAACTTGACCAGCTTTTATTTGGCTGCCATGGAATGCAATGTTTTCCCCTGTCGCCTCCTCGGTGTTTGTTTCTTCTCGACTGCTTGAGTCCCAAGGAAGGCTTGAAGAAGGAACCCAGAAGAAACATGTCGGGCGCTGAGCGCTATCATGGATTTGTAGGTGCTCGCAAGGCACCAATTGAATGCACATGATTTCGCACAGACACTTTACATGATTGCTTTGTCCCACTACCATACCGAACTAGTGTATGCCAAGGACTGACTCCGCAGTGGTCTACACTAGAAATATGTATGTATATCCTTGATCACAATGGATTTTAATTGCATAAGAAATATGGCCCAAGAAGTGAATTCTGTGATAACTGGTAAGCCAATTCCAGCAGGGACGTGCAATATTTGAGGACTGGAGCTCACCTGGACGTCGTCAATGAGGAGAGAATCTCTAGCCTATTGCACAATTACATTCGGCTGAGTTTGACATCTTGTACACCCTTTAATCTGTCGAATATCTCCGCATGGCAACATGGCAACTGACATGGAGCGCACCTGCACCAAACAATAGAAGGATACAGAATCCAATAAACAGATAGACTCGTCCAGAGCTCAAAAGATTGCTTCCGCCCAAGAGACTCATGCAGAATTATAATGATTTGTAATTGCCATATATTGCCACATATTGCCGCCATTTTCCGGCATTAGCCGTAAGCATGCCTGAAGCATTGTAGCATACCATTGCTGCATGCTTCTCCCATTTGTCCATCCCATTGCGAGGACAACTTCAAGGATGGCCTGATGAAAGCTCATGGGGCAGTTGAAAACCTATCAATTACCCGTGCCATGGCCAGTTGATCGGTTCAGATCCCCATGCTATTGGCGAATGCCACGCAAGCATGTGCAGATGCACTACACATTAAATTGAATGGGTAGAAGAATGAAAATGAGAGTCTGGAAGCATAATTACGGACGCATAATCATAAATAATGAAGCACGCCTTCTTACTACATCCTTTTGCATCTTTTTACATTTTACATCCTTTCACATCCTTTTACTATTCTTAGCCTGACGTATCATCATGGTGCCAAAGTCCTATACTGAAGTTACTTTAGCTTTATTATATATATATATATTCCAGTGCTGAATTTAAGTCTTTCAAAGGCTCAAGGCGCAATTTCGCATTTGCAATCAAGTTGGTGGCTGATGGGACGCCAGTAGCGAAAATCCTCAGATGGACAAACTGATCTTGACTGGATTCTTGACTGTTCCGAGGCGTCTATCAGAAGCTCCGCACAATTGAGAAAAAGCTAGAAGGACGGCATTAGAAGAGACACTGCAAGGCCCATCAGCCGCTTTGGGGATCGTTTAGGAACATGGTATGATGTGATGGAACATGATCTCGAAACATTTCATTGCCTGACTCAGTTTGCAATGCAACCGATCCCCCCATGACATGGCGGAAGAAGGGGGTGCTCCTGCACCTAGATACGTGAGCACATATCACGGAGATGGCTCATGTTCCTTTGGCATTCACAAATACACACACACATATATATATATATATAAAGACCGCATCGAACCATATAAGCTTCGTGTATGGGAGAGAATTCTATCGAAAGATTGTGGGCACAATTTCCCTTCGAAACCCTGGGCCCAGCTTAGTCTGTCAGGTGCTTGCAGACCTGAGATAACCTGAGTGATGCAGACGCCTATCCGACGTTTTAATCTTCATGAGACCGTCTCCCCAAAAGTGCCAATGAGATGTCTTGTTGGCTCATGAGAAGAAGTGGACAGGTCAGGGTGACAGTGCGATCAGCATTTCACAGTCTTCACATGTTTGTGTTTCCATGTGTTTCCACTATTGCATAGGCAGATTTCCAACCTTGAGTTGAGGACATGTTGGCTTGCTGTCCGGGAACTAAATATCGATTGCTGGTCCTGGCCTGTCTCTCCTTTTCTACCTGCCATCAGAGAGTGTTGTGAGATGTTGTGAGAATATCCACGCTCCTCTGATGGAATAGGCCCAGCCAATGCGAAATCTGGGTTGTGGAGGCGTGAAACGCCCGACACATCCGCCTAGAGCTTGACACGGAACGCATTGGCTGTGCAGATTGTGCAGTGGGGACACAGTCCTGCTGAATCTGGATTTATCTGGATCCGAATCGACGAGCAGGCTATGTATCTCCAATGCATGGAGCTCACAGAAGCCTGCTACATCCTGCTACTAATTCTTCAATATTCTTTACATTCTACTAGTGCAACCATTTTGTCATTTTCTTATGGTGACCAGGGCGGAAGAAAAGATCAACGATCAATGATTATGACTCATAGTCCCATTTGGTTTGGTGCAGCTCAATCTCAGGACTCTTGGGAAGGAGTGACTCTTCAGTGAGCACGTGATGCACGAAGCAGGTTCTGAGCTGATCAGCTGTCGATTGACTGTGGGACAGTTGAGTATAGGCCGAGCCAAATAGCTTCCATAGAAGGCCTGGCCTGTCCCACGGCAAAGCACCGTATAGATTCTTGCGACCAAAGACTTCAAAGATGAGCTGTAGCAAAAAAGGCAAGAGAAAAGGGTCCTCAAAAGCCATATCCATTGGTCCATTGGTAGGTGCCTTGCACTGCGGGGTTTTTGCGTAGTTTGAGTGCAGTGACATTCAGGGCTGATCTCCTTAGCCCAATGCTTATCTTTGACACAGAGATGTCCTTGCACTCCGTGCGTGACAGCCCGAGGTGGCGACTCATCAACACTGCAGTCATCCGCAAGCTTGGGCTGTGCATGAGCTGTATCGTGGCTGGTATTTGGCTTTCATGGTACTGTACCAGGACTTCGGTCATGCTGTGAGATAATTGAAATCTATAATAGTTATATACTGTAGTTCATTTTTTCCAGCAATTGGATGCTTTTTTTCGCGCAGTTATGTATGGTGTGGCAAAATCAGCATATGATCAGCATATGCTATCATATCAAAAGTATGGCTGGGAGAGAGCTGCCCCTCTCATTCTACAACTCCAGGCAGGCTTTGAGAGGCAGAGGGACTGTTCTGCAACAGTACCGACACAGAATCACTGCATCCACGGCATTCTCTACATTTTCGGTGCATGGTGCCATATAGATCCATATATATAGATCCATATAGATATAGCACATATATAGCACATATATAGCACATTAGCACATATTATATGGTGATATATGGTGACCACACCGGCAGCCACGGAGATGAAACCGCGATCAGGTCCTTTGCCGTTGCGACGTTCAGTGCAGCGCCTTTGTGTCCGGTGGAGTTTGTGTCCTCAGATTCACCTTGCATAGAGACACAAAGGAAGGGACTTCAGCTGACTACGATGATTTCATGTGATTTCATCATTTTCATCGCATCATGTCGCATCACAGGCATTTGATGGCAGTTCGAAAAAACTGCTGGCGAGTTTTGGATCTTTTTGGGGCAGCGCTTTGAGGCAGGGCTGCTCTGACTCCTGCGGGGCCTGAGCTTTGAATGTCTCCAGTGGTACTGCGACTTACGAAGTTGCAATATGTTGCAATATGTTGCATTAAACATTTGCGTTTGATAATTTTGATAGTTGTAGATATTGATGATATTGCGGACTTTTCGCCTTGGCCTTGAGTTGCTACAAGATGCTACAATGCTGCTACAAGTTGTACAGTACAAGTCTTCCATAGACCCTTGAACAATTCAGGCGGCCGTCCTGGTCCGCGTCAACCTGCAGCATGCGCAAGAAATCGACTCTTGACAAGAGGATGTCGGATGTGGATGGATTTGGTGATGTTGGGGCGTGATGTGAGGAACTCTGCAGACCCCCACTTGTAATACATTGTAAATCATTGTAATATATGCTATAAATATAACTAAATATAGCTCTAGAATGTTATTCCAATTGGAAATATGTCAGCGTTCCGTGCAATTCAAGTATTCAATTCTGATCTTTGACAAAGAGCCTCTTCAGTCAAAGAAACACCCCGCCAAGGACTACCGCCCAGCATCCTTAGATCTGGAACGTGCTGTCTATGTGGTGCTGGTAATCCTGTGCCGCTGAGATGCAAGCAATACGCGGATACTAAGCTATGCTAAGCAATCATGATTGCTATCATGGTCAGATCGAGAGTGGTTTCAGCGGCTTTTCGAATGAGGCAGGCTGAGATGCAGTTCCCTTTGCACAGAGCACTGAGGAACTCACGGGTCAACATGGTCCTGTTTGCTTATCAGCATTTACCTTCTGGTTTTGACAAATTTGAGGTCTTGTGGTGTTGAGGGCCAAGAACAGGGCCTCCCTGCTTGGCTGATACCTGCCGCAGCAGGAGGCGGTTCCGTGGTGCTTTGCCGCTTGGCTGTAAGATGCTGTAGTTTTCAAATTTCGCTACTAGACTCGGAACACAACGATCGCTTCTAATCAAAACTCTGACATCCAGCTCAATTTTGCCTCACAGATCAGCTACTGGTAGTACACGTGTATACACGTGGTCCACATGTGGGGCAATCCCAGGAAATGTTGTTGCTGCTACTTGCGCCGTCGCGCAAAGTCTCAGTGATGGCATGGAAAGCGACCTCTCCCGTCACCGTTCAGGCGCCTTGTGTGAAGAAGTTGTGAGTGCTTGGGTTGTTGGGGTAGCCTCACCCACCAAATCGTTCTCAGGCCTGAACGACAACTGTGCTCATCCTAATGTGCATCACATCGCTTGCATCCATTGCATTGCCTGACCTCCCAGTCAGGTGGCTATTCAGTTTCAGATCTTCTGCAGCACGCGTTCCATCGCATTCCATCGCATTCCATCGCGTTCCATCGCGTTCCCGCTACGGGACGCAAGCATGTTGCTTCACCGTCCGGCGAGGTCACTGGCTTGCAATGATTTGCAATGTGCTTTTCTGCGGGATGGATCAACTGCGAACAGAATTAGCCAAGGCCGCCGGCTAAAATAAAAAGAGGCCAGGCTTGCTTGGATCATTTTTTGACCACACATCGAGCTCTTAATGTTGCGGTTGAACATTATTTAATTTTTTTTAAAATCTTTTTCAGATGATGGTGGTTGTGTGAGTGCCATGGCCGATCCCTTTGTTTGACTGTTTGACGCTCTAGTTTGCACCTGCATGCTGGTGCTGCCTGGCTAGCTTGTTTACGTTGTTTATGCCCGTCATTTTTGCACTCAAACCAGCCCATACTTGCCGCTTTTGCTACAGCCCGTGAAGAAGTCATTTCAGACGAGATCACAGGATGGGATCGGGAGGCTCCAAGAAAGCGGCAGAGAAGGCGGCCGAGAAGGCAGACAAACCAGCGGAGGCAGCTCCAGCAGCCGCAGCTCCAGCAGGCGCAGCTCCAGCAGAGGCTGCAGCTCCTGCAGAGGCTGCAGCTCCTGCAGAGGCTGCAGCTCCTGCAGCTCTAGAAGGTCCGAGGGATGATGCGGTGTACCGAGTTATGGATCCGCCGGAGGACTTTGTGGTGGAAGGTCTGAAGCTTGCAGGAGGTGCTGTGTCAGACCATCCTGATGTTCAAGAGGGCAAGGTCCTTCAGGTGGCGAAGCATCCAGAGGAACATTTCATGCAGTACTGGCTCAAGGTCGAGTATGGCTCGGGTCAGATTGCTTTTGTTCACACTTTGATGAGCTGTGGATGGAACTCCGACAATGTGATTCGAGGTGTTGGCGATGCTCAATTCCCTCCAGATCCAAAGAACCTTCCCGTGTCAGCAGAGGCTGCCCCGGCAGCAGCTCCCGCAGCGCCGGAGGAAGGTCCAATGGATGATGCAGTGTATAACATTGTGGACCCGCCGGAGGACTTTGTGGTGCAAGGTTTGACGTCATGTGGCGGAATTGTTGCGGACAACCAAGATGTGAAACAGGGCAAAGTCTTGCAAGTGGCCAAGCATCCCCAGGAGCCCAGAATGCACTACTGGCTGAAGGTGGAGTATGGCTCATCCCAAGTAGCTCTTGTTCACATGTTGATGAGCTGCGGATGGACCTCGGACAAGCTCTTGTTGGACGTGGGTGATGTTCAGTTTCCACCTGATCCCAAGAATCTCCCCACACCCAAGGAGGGACCTGCGCTTCCCGACCTGAAGCGAGCAGACTATGATCAAGAGTTTGTTGATCCCAGCCACCTTGATGCTATTGCCACCAATCCCTCTTTGAAGAGTGTTTTCCCAGAGGCATCCAGTGGTCAGGTCAGGAGCATTTGGCGTGGACCCACTGGTTTTTGGTTGGAAGTGACAGGAGAGCCTGAAGGCACTCGTTATGGAGCACACTTTCTCGAGCCAGAAGGAGGTCATCTTGAGGAAGGGCAGCAATACGTTATCAACTGCGCTGTGCAGCTTCCGGAGGATGAGGAATTCCCTCCTGAGCCCCGCACCACGAAGGGCAAAGCTGTGGCTTTTTAGAGATCTAATCAGTCACTACGAGCCACATTCAGGTCACGCCTCTGCCTGTTTGCAGGCAACTTGTATTTCACGCCCCGGCAAACGCTGGTGCACACACACATAATCCCTTCGCATCGGCAGACGCCGATTTGCAGACAATCCTTCAGACATCTTCAGACTCAAGTCGAACTGTGACACAGCTTGAAGAAAAAATGTGCACTGCTGCCCTTTGGAAATCTTTGGAATCTTGTTGGCCTGTTTGCTCAGCCGGTGCAAGAAAGTGCTGCCTCATGCGTCCAAGCACTCTTCATGCTGGAGACGTCCTGGATGTTGGATTGCAGCCAGGAATTGCGTGCACATCAAGCATCACAGCTACTGTAGCCGAGAGCTCAAATATTGGGACTGAGACTCAGAGTGTCAAACTGGTCTCGTGATGTTTTGCGTCCTTTGCTATACTGGCTTTAAAATTGGAAAGGCTACGCTAGGAGTGGATATGAGTGGATTTTTCGATGGTTTTTGTATGTTTTTGTCATTTTGGCATATTTTGGCATTGGATTTGCGCGATCATGCATGCATCAGGGGTCCAGGCACAAGGAAGCAGTTTCAAAGACCCCACAGTTGATGTTTACAAGGACTTACACTGCTCAGTGTATTGGGATTACTGAGGATTATTTGTGATTACATTATATACTATACTATATACTGAATTAGCGACGAAATTATTGCATGTATTTGTATATATTTGATTATATTTGTATGTAAGACTACTAATTTAGTCCTGCTTCATTTTAGCCTTGCTGAGGTGTGTGTGTGTGTGCAAACTTTCGATAGGGGACGACCTATACCGATACCCTCTTTTCCATGAGTCACCTTAAAGTCTGTGAACACAGAAAATCCTCAATGGCATGAAAATGAACAAGTAATTTCATCCACCATTCATGTGGGGATTCTTTGATTATCATAATGTCTCATAACTCAGAATAATTCATCCATTATGGGACCCCCCTATCAATTATATAACCAAGCATTATTTGTATGAAGGATTGTCCATGGCTTTCCAATGGACTTTTGACACCGCTCAAGTAAATCGACTGGTCCTCACTGGTCCACACAGTGCTGCCTCAGGCCAGCTGTGGCAGCTGCCATCGTGATGCCATTCCTCGCAGAACTTCAGGGTTTCACTAGTTTCGCTGCACTGTAAAATGCCTCGACAGTTGGGGTGAAACCCCACCAACTTGGCGATCCGACGTCATCCAGCGGGCTCTTGACATTGTCGAGCCATGTCGAGTCAAAACAATTCAATCCTGATGAAAATGAAACGCTCACCGGATCTTCTTGGAACCAGCATGTTGGTGCAAACTTGTTTGGCTAGTGCCTCGTGATCATGGCCTTGATGTTTCAACATGTGCAGCAATTGGGGAGCCGTTGCATAAGAGGAGGGCGAGAATCCTTCGACCAGCCAAACTGTCGCTGCACCCCGTGAGATGAAACATTTTTCATCATTTTTCTTGCTGCATCAGGAGGTTGGCTCTTTCAATTAATTTATTTGACACATTTGCCACCTGGCCGAAGCCATTATAAAAACATAATTACACAATATTACATAATATTACATATTCATATGGAGGTTTCCTGAAATGGGAGTTACAGTTATCATCCATTTTAGATTGGGATTTTCGAGCAAACAAACCATCCATATGCAGCATGCACCGTGCATCTCGCAGTCCTGCAACGAGGTCTTAGAGTTTCATGCTGTCGCTGACCTGTACAAGGGCCAAGAGGCTCACCATTGACGTGTCCCCCTCGCTCCTTCGGAACGAAAAGGAAGAGAAGAGAAGGGAGAAATTATAACAGCTTTTCTATTGTAACTTACCGGTAAGAGTTTACATATTTGTATCTTAACCTGTTAATTAAATTCTGAAAAACTTCTAGACTATTAATTACTTAGTTTTTTAAGCTTGTAATGTTGCTGATTAGTGTGGCCCCCCCTTCAACAATTTTAGGCTACTCAATAACTGGCCATTTTCTGGCCCCCCCAGCAATTTTCAGGATAGTCAACTTAAGTAAGGATTTCAATTGACATCAATCTACTTTCAGTTGATTTTCCTTTTAAGTCCAAAAAAATTGCCCCAAAAGTTTTTTTTGCACAATAGGGTGCCATCGAAACAATTGCACTATTGAGGATCTGGGTCACTCATGGGGTACCCCCTTGAAAAAAATTGTTTGGGTGCTGTTTTTAATAAGGGTTGAGCAAGGTATCTATATTATTTGGGAAACCTTGCATTTTCAAGGCTTTAACATGGATATGGCTTTCTAAAGTAAATGGACCAGCTTTACCCAAAGAAAGGTGTATAAAGGTGGATCAAGCTCCTCCTGAAAAAAAAATGGATCTGAGAAACAACTTTCCAAAATAGAGCCCCACCCCCACCATCCACAAGATACTCAATAATTTTGGAAAAAATCCACAATAGAGGTCCATCACACTAATCGGTAAACTACATTATTTACATTCTTTTGCATTTGGTTTCAGTTCACACGAAAAGTCCGGATATATATTGTTCAGAATTCAGAAATTGTTCATATTTCTTTCAAAATTGTTATTTGCAGGTTTATAGATTGTAGAAGATTATGGCACTTCAATATTTCAAAGTTATTTGTAAGTGAAATCTTTTCCATAGCATTTTAAACAGGTATTCATAACATTTCATAACCTGTTGGGGTTTTCAGGTGGAAGGGATTGCATATGTTAATTAATAAAGCTGTACCACACCAATGCAAAACCGTGCAAAGCCCACGTCTATAAAATGGTACACCATAGCCGCTGAAATATGGGTCACTATAAAATGGACCCCCGCGACCATGCAACACAATGGAAGAAGGCAATTGCCACCATTCTATAGACTTAATTTGTTAGCTAGTGAGACATTTAGAGGTGGTTGGGAACAAGTTTCTGTAGGGGGGTTTGGTTAAAATTTACCCCATGAACTCCATTCTATAGAGCGCCATGTGCGGACAGGGGTCATGCGAACCATTTTAGCTCTATAAAATGGTGCCCCATGACGGTTCGATCGAATTCCAAACGGTATATACATATTATCATATATCTGGGTAAATTATAACGACCTCACTGCGACCTCACTGGAAATCATGGTTAGTAAGGGACATCATCCCCAAATGGCCTTAATTCAAGTTAGTGAAATATTATAATTTGCCCAGATATATATATATATATGTATATGTATGTGTGCGTGTGTGTTATGTGTTGTATGTTAATTATGAGACCCCTCGTTTGAGCAACCCCTCGTGACATGACTTCCATAACTTCCATAATGTTTATTGTATCGATTGTATCTTTCTACAACCGAATTTCTATCTGAATCCAAGGGCAAGAGCTCTTACACCACTCCTGTGCCTTTGCAATGGTGGAGGATTCACTCTTTCATACTCTTTCTGCAGTCTTTTTTCGTCTTTCCACGCACCTTTCTGCAGCGGAAGTTGGAAAGTCTTTGCCTGTTCTCACTCTAATTAATTCGACTCACACAGGCTTCAGCCAGTTGACATCGTAGGTCGAACAGCATCTAGAACGTGCCAACTTGCTGACTTGGATTACAGGTCTTTGTGAGTTACGGGGATGCGTCACGTTCTCAGATCATTTGCAGCTGCTTTCTGCTGTTTAGCTAAACACTGCGCTGAGAACGAAGTGATGTGGAATGTTTAGGGGTGAATATATGTGCATATAAGGGCAGATGAAACAGAGTTGCATGCAAAATTCTGAAATCACGCATCGAAGGTTGAACATGTTGAACATCATTCATTGAAGTAATGAATATGTCATGAATATGTCATGAATATGGTTTTGCCTCAGGTACTTCGATGAAGACTACGAAGGTCACAGGCCAGGTTTCAGATGGTTTGAGTAAGGGAATGATCCTGTAACCAGCTGCTACATGCTGCTACCGTCTGAATGTCGGCCAGGCGTTCTGAATTGCTTCACGTGGAGGCTGCTGTTCAGGCCAAGCAACCTGACCATGAACGATTTTAAACGCTGGTTTCCGTGCAGGATTTCTTTCCATTTGTTTCACATGGTTTCCCGTCGGAGATGGTGATCACAGGATCAGAAATTAAATATGTTTTCATGATTTTTCATGTTTGTTTGGGCAGTCACGCCGGGAAGGATTGTTTTTTTTGTTTTATCTTATCGACCGCACAGGGGGATAAGCACACACAGCAGCTGGTGGAATGCCAGCGTGCTCTTGTGCGGGCCTTTGAAGGCAGGAGCAGCGGCAATTCGAATTGAGGCTGTTGGGCATCCCTAGGGGGAGATGGACTTGATGGCTACGCGAGCTATGCGGCTATGCCTAAGAGAGAGAGAAGAATTGCCTGGTTTTTGCCTGCTTGAACTCTCAGGAGCAGAGTTTCAGAAGGAACTGAAAGATAGAGCAATGGCAAGGGCACGCGCCGTTGCCTGAGTGCTCCAAGTTGGAAAGCTGTGTAAGCGTCGGATTTGTATGAGATTTAGGTATTTTAATTCAAACTGCTTGCGGCTAATGTGAGCCATGCCACAAGTACCCCAATTTCTTGGGCCAATACATCAAGAGAAGCAAGAACCAACAGCAAGAGCTGACCCGCACAAGCCTTTTCAACTGCATGCTTTCACCGCACCATCAAATTCCGGCGAGTTCCAACAAGGCCTTCAAAGAAGGACGCTCAGCAGCAATCGACAACGGGGTGCATGTGCGTGGGTGGCTGCATTGACAACCTTCCCTTTATGATCTTTAGGCCCACATATTAAGGGGCTACGCCCCCTGCCGCCGACCCCAGGAATTGTTGCCTGGGGCGGTGAGCGGGGGGCTGGAGAGAAAGCAATGATTGCTTGGCTTGTTTCAAATCCCAAAGTCTACCTGGCCCGCTTGCGCCAACGCGAAAGACGCCACCGTCACGCAGCAATCCTAGAGGACGTTCGCAAGGAAATTCAGGAAATACACACAGCAAGACAAACTTCCACGCGAGCAGAAGCTCCCAAAACGGACACTGCCCACTCATCGAACCAGCAGCTTGCTGTCGGGCCTGACACGGTTACGCCACAACTGTACACATACATCTGCCCACACTGCGCCAAATCTGTGCAAAGCAAAGTGGCAACAGGACAAATCGATCACCGCCGAGGTGATGGTTGCGGCCACGAATTTCGCGTTGCAAATGGCTTGCTTGCA